TCCACACAGTCAAATGCCTTTGCATAGTCAATGAAACACAGATAGACATTCCTCTGGTACTCCCTGTTTTCAGCCAAGATCCATCTAACATTAGCTACAATATCCTCTTCTAGACCCAGCCTGTATTTCAGGCAGTTAGTTCTCTGTTGATGTGCTGTTTCAGTCTTTTTTTTGGGATAATCTTCAGCAGAATCTTGCTTGCATGTAATAGCAGTAATATTTTTCGATAATTTCCACACTTTGTGGGATCACCTTTCTTTGGAATGGGGATAAATATAGATCTCTTCTAGTCAGTTGGCCAGGTAGTTGTCCTCCAGATTTCTTGGCACAACTTGGTGAGCACACCCAGGGCAGCATATGTTTGTGGAAATATATCATTGTATGCTATCAATTCCTGGGACCCTGGTCTTTGCCAATTTTTTCAGAGCAGCTTGAACTTCTTCCTTCACCATCACAGGCTGTTGCTCATACATGGTTTCATTAAATTCTTCAGTGTCTACTACAATGACTCCGTATACTCTTTTCATCTTCTAGAAGGATAGGTGGTCCACTTATAAAATATCAGGTCTTTGAAAAACCTATGTACAATAGAGCACACTTAGACTAGCACATATGACAACTGAGGCTTAGCCCTCAAGTATGGAAACACAAAGGAGGAACAGTTGTAAGCAGACACTCGTGATTCAAACATGGAATGTGAGAACCATGAATATAGAAAAATTGGATAATGTTAAGAAAGAAATGGAACACATAAATATTGACATACTAAGTATAGGCTAAATGAGATAGACCTGCACAGGACATTTTGAGTCAGATGATCATGTGATCTACTATGCTGGAGATGAAAAAGTGGGGGAACAATAAGGTTGCTTTAATAGTTAAAATAATTTCTAGATCCATTTTGAAATACAATGCTGAGTGACAGGAAAATATCCATACGCACACACGGAAATCGAGTGAATATATGCACCAACAACCAGAGCCGAAGAGGAGGAAATAAATTTTTACCAACTTTTGCAGTCAGAGATCGATCGAGCATGTAATCAAGATCATTAATAATAATGGGTGACTGGAATGGAAAAGTTGGGAAAAGAGAAGAATGATCAGTAGTTGGAAAACATGGACTTGGATACAGAAATTAAGCTGAAGATAGAATGATAGAATTTTGCACAATCAACAACTTATTCATTGCAAATACACTTTATAAGAAACATAAATGCAGGCTATACACATAGATTTCACCAGAATCATATCTATTACATTTGTGGAAAACTAACTGGAGAAGTTCAATATCAGCTGTGAAAACTAGGCCAGGTGCTGATTGTGAAACAGACCACCAACTACTCTTATGCAACTTCAAGCTGAAGCTAAGGAAAATTAAATCATATCCATGGGCACCAAAATTTGACCTTGAGTCTATCCCATCTGAATGTCAAAACCATCTCAAGAACAGGTTTGAGGCCTTGAACATTAATTAATGAAGACCTGATGAGCTGTGGGAGGATATCAAGAATATCATCCAAGAAGAATGCAAAAGGTCATTACAAAGACAGAGGAGGAAGAGAAGACCAAGATGGATGTCAGAAGAGACTTTGAATATTGCACTAGAGCACTGAGAAGCCAAAACAAAACAAATCAACTTATTAAAGAGCTGAACAGACTATTTCAAAGAGCAGACCAAGAAGACAAAGTATTACAATGAAATGTGCAAAGCACTGGAGTCAGAAAGTCAAAGGGGCCAAACTCGCTCAGCATTTCTTTAGCAGACAGAACTGAAGAACTAATTCAAGCCTCGAGTTGCAATACTTAAGGATGCTTTGGGCAGAATATTAAATGACCCAGGAAGCATTAAAAGAAGATGGAAAGAGTATACAGAGTCATTGTACCAAAAGGAAAGTGTCGGGGAGGAAAATAATGGGAGATAAAGTTGGACAGTGGGCTGAGCTTTGTTTATGACTGAGGTTTCTGAATGCTATTCTGTCCATACTTGGGGGCCACCAAAGTCTTTTGTAACCAGAGGAACAGCTGTATAGGAGAACAATGACCTATATGAAGGATGATGTATGTGGAGTGAAGAGAGGTGATTACAGG